CCCTCCTCCTCCTCCTCCCAGCTTCTCTTCCACTCTGCAAACCTCCCTCCCTTCTCACACTGATGATGTTACCTAGTTGGGTCATGAAACGTCTGCAAGAAAACATCCAAACTCAGCACCAAGGAATCCTGCAGTTGATTTGATTTGTCACGTAGACAAACATTTTTGCTTTTGGTTTTGGACCCAGTTTTTTCAATCCAAAAGTAAGAATGGCTAGTCTTACCTTATTTCCACTCACCCCTTCGGGCTGAGATACTGCAGTGGTTCAAAGGCTCATGATACAGTCCTGCCAGGACTGAACCATTTTCCGAAGAAAGGAAAATTGCACGAAGGGGTGTCATCTATTCCTAAAAAAAAAAAAATCAAGCCAGCTTGGAAACAGCTTAGTTTCTTATTATATTTATTTTTCCTGGGAAGTGACACTTGATAAGGAAGATGTTCAAACTTGTAACTTTCAGTAGACATCCCTCCCCGGAAGATTTTAAGCAAGGCATAATTTCTCCAGTTATTAAAATCTGCTTTAAAGACACAGTGCACCTTTAAAACGCCTGTAATTAAAATACCATTTATTAAATACCATTTGGAGGATGCCCCGTGCTTCTCTGCTTTCTCCTGAGTACATGGGCAAAACGTCGCGCTGGAGAACTTATTTTGTACCAATTCTGTGTCATAAGTAAACGGTTCAATTCGGCTTAGGGTTTGCAGTCTTCTCGTTCCCCACCGCGCTCAACCCCAGAGTAAGAAAAATATTAAATGTTATTTCTAACTTTTGCAGCCAACGCAGATGTGCTGAAAGCCATGGTCGCAGACAATTCGGTGTGCGATCCGGAAAGGTAAGCAATCTGATTGCCGTGTTTTCTGTCTTCCTTAAACACCCTCAAATAAAGTGGAGCGAATAACTCCTGAATCCATCCGCTTGCTCAGTTATCACTGTAGAAAATTTGGTTCAGGTCTGCCAGTATTCTGGAGTACAGGTTCCCCACAGAGTTGTGTCTTGAGTCCATTACTGTTCACCTTGATGCGGTGCCAAGTTTGCTACGAATCAGATTATGAATACAGATTGGGCGAGACCTGGTTCAAAAACAGCGACTGTGAGAGGGACCTTGGAGTCCTGGTGGACGATCACTTAACCATGAGCCAGCACTGTGCAGTAGCAACCAAAAAAGATAATACAATCCTGGGTTGTATAAACAGAGGCATAGAATCAAGATCACGCGAAGTACTAGTACCGCTTTATAAAGCCCTAGTGAGACCGCACTTGGAATACTGCAGCCAATTTTGGTCACCATATCACAAAAAAAAAAAAAAAAAGATGTTGAGAGCTTGGAAAAAATTCAGAGAAGAGCAACTAAGATGATCAAAGGCCTGGAGATTAAAACATACGAAGAACGGCTGCAGGACTTGGGTTTGGCCAGTCTAAAGAAAAGAAGAAATAGGGGAGAAATGATAGCGGTATTCTCTTATTCTCCTAGGAATTTGTTTGAGGACCTCAATTTTTTTTTTCTTTGTATTTCAAAGGTTCTTCTCTTACTCTTCTCAAAATCTCGTCTCTTGTAGATCTTTTAAGAAATCACATGTACTTCCTTGGGGAATTTATTTCTGCTATTCTATTCTATTCTATTCTATTCTATTCTATTCTATTCTATTCTATTCTATTCTATTCTATTCTATTCTATTTCATTCCTGTTCTATTCCTGTTCTATTCTATTCTATTCTATTCTATTCTATTCTAGTTCTATTCCTGTTCTATTCTATTCTATTCTATTCTATTCTATTCTATTCTATTCTATTCTATTCTATTCTATTCTATTCTATTCTATTCTATTCTATTCTATTCCTTTATTCCTCTATTCCTCTATTCCTCTATTTCTATTTCTATTCCTATTCTTATTCTTGTGTATTCAGATGACACAACAACGGTGGGTCTTATCCAGGACAATAACGGAGATTCTTATAGGGAGACGGTTCAGGCTTTGATGGACTGGTGCAATAAAAATAACCTGGTTTTGAATGTTAATAAAACAAAGGAAGAAGGATGGGATATTATATTATTAAATGTTTGAAGATGGTGGAGAATAGATAATTGCTAGAAATAGAAGTATTATTATAACTAGAAAGATAAGATTTGTAATTAGAATATTAGATTTTGACATGAGAAGGGAAACAGAAAAACGCTAAGACGTTTGAATAAGGGAAGCTTTTGGTTACCCAAATATAACTTACTTTGAAATTACAAACAAGAGAGACATTTTGAACACTGAGGGGAAATTAAAATAAAAAACGAGAGAAAAAACAGGATACTGATTGAACATACGGTTATTAAGTGCAAATGCAATTAAAATAAGTTTTGGTTAGAAAAGATATCTTAAACTGACGTTATTGATATTATCAGAAAAATGTAACAAAGAGGTTGATACTCAATTATGTATTTACTAATAACAATAAGAATTGTATTTGCCTAGTGTGGGAAAACAGGTACTATCGGAAGAAGAGTGGAAACATTTGATGGTGTAATATTGGATGTAGATTGAAGAAGTTAATATAGACCACTGAATTACAAATGGACCCAGACAACACGTTGTCTATTAAGTATTTGACTGTAAAATTAGAAAATTAATAAAATATTTATAAAAACAAACAAACAAACAAACAAACAAAGGAGATCATTGTTGATTTTAGAAAGAGCCAGCATCATCATACTCCACTTTGTATCAAGGCTGCAGTTGTGGATGTGGTCAATAGTATTAAAGTACCTGGGGGTACAGATAACTAACAATGTGACTTGGTCCCTTCAAATGTCATCCTTAGTGAAGCGTGCAAACCAAGGTTTACATTTCTTGCGTCGGATGAGGAGAGCACATCTTCCTCCTTCTGTCCTGGCCCATTTTTTTTTTACAGAGGCAGGATGGAGAGCGTTTTAACAAACTGCATCCCTGTCTGGTTTGGGGGTAGCAGAGCCTCAGATAGAAGGTCCATAGAGAGAGTGGTGAGAACAGCCGGGAAGATTATAGGAAGCTCGCTTCCCGTTATTCAGGACACGGCTTATAAGCGCTCATATGTGCTTAGAGCTTGGAGCATTGTTAGAGACCCCACACACCCGCTTTACAGTCTGTTCCTGTTGCTCCCCTCTGGGAGGAGGTTTAGAAGTACTTATAGCAGAACGACCAGATTCTGTAACAGCTTTGTTCTTTCAGGATTAACAAAAGCTTTGTGGAAAAAAGTCATTTAGGAAAAAAAACGTGTGTTTAGAATCAAGGTGTCACCCATAGTGTGAGCTCAAGAGAAAGAAGGAAAAGATAGCGGGATTTGATTCGTCAACTTGCCTGCCCTCGACGCTCATTTTTTGTTTTCCATTTCTGCTCCTAAAATTTAGCCCAACCACTCCTGGCAGTCCAACGAGTCCCGGTTCTCCCTTGTCTCCTGGAGGTCCTTCGTCAAAACACACGTGCCGGGGACACCACCTGCACACCATTGGGGGCGTGGCTGGGACAGGCGCTTGCTCCCGTTGCAGCCAAAAGCGGTGGAATCTCTTCAGCCCAAATAAAAGAGCCAAAGAACCCAAGAGACCAAGACACGGAGAAGTCACCGTACTCTCCGTGGGAAGGTAAGTTGGCTTGGTTTCATGAGAAGAGGCGGCAAAGTTGGCTTCTATTTGCAAGCTGGGAATAGAGCAGAAGAGAGAATGTTGGACTCAGACCGGGCCTACTCAGGTAAAACACAGATGTATGGCCTAGGGCAGGGGTAGGCAACCTTGGCTCTTTTATGACTCGTGGACTTCAACTCCCAGAATTCCTGAGCCAGCGTGGCTCAGCTTGGAAACCTCTCCCTTTCCTCTCAGCGGGGCTGGCTCAGGAATTCTGGGAATTGAAGTCCACGAGTCATAAAAGAGCCAAGGTTGCCTACCCCTGGCCTAGGGGTTAAGACATCAGACTAGAAACCGGGACAATGTGAGTTCTAGTGCTGCATTAGACATGAAAGTCAGCTGGGTGACTTTGGTCCAATCACTAGGAGACTGTGAGTTCTAGTGCCACCTTAGACATGAAAGTCAGCTGAGTGACTGGGCCAATCACTAGGAGACTGTGAGTTCTAGTCCCGCCTTTGACATGAAAGTCAGCTGGGTGACTTTGGGCCAGTCACTAGGAGACTGTGAGTTCTAGTCCTGCCTTAGATATGAAAGTCAGCTGGGTGACTTTGGGCCAATCACTAGGAGACTGTGAGTTCTAGTCCCACCTTTGACATGAAAGTCAGCTGGGTGACTTTGGACCAATCACTAGGAGATTAAATTCTGGTCCCGCCTTAGACATGAAAGTCAGCTGAGTGACTTTGTGCCAATCACTAGGAGACTGTGAGTTCTAGTCCCGCCTTAGACATGAAAGTCAGCTGGGTGACTTAGGGCCAATCACTAGGAGACTGTGAGTTCTAGTCCCGCCTTTGACATGAAAGTCAGCTGGGTGACTTTGGACCAATCACTAGGAGATTAAATTCTGGTCCCGCCTTAGACATGAAAGTCAGCTGAGTGACTTTGGGCCAATCACTAGGAGACTTTGAGTTCTAGTCCCGCCATAGACATGAAAGTCAGCTGGGTGACTTTGGACCAATCACTAGGAGATTAAATTCTGGTCCCGCCTTAGACATGAAAGTCAGCTGAGTGACTTTGTGCCAATCACTAGGAGACTGTGAGTTCTAGTCCCGCCTTAGACATGAAAGTCAGCTGGGTGACTTAGGGCCAATCACTAGGAGACTGTGAGTTCTAGTATAAAAGTCAGCTGGGTGACTTTGGGCAGTCAATCACTTTTTATCAGTCTAACTTGTTGTGGAAAAAAATAGAAGGTGGAAGGTATATTGGATATGTTCATCCCCTTTGAGATATTTGTAAAAGGAATAAAGGCAATGAATTGAAAGAAAGAAAGAAAAAGAAAGAAAGAAAGAAAGAAAGAGAAAGAAAAAGAAAGAGAGAGGAAGGAAGAAAAGGAAGGAAAGGAAGGAAGGAAGGAAGGAAGGAGGGAGGGAATTAGGGTTGGGAAGGAAGGAAGGAAGGAAGGAAGGAAGGAAGGAAACACAACAAGCCAAAAATGGGCAAGGGGCAGGAATGACTGGATGGTCTTTTCCAAGGACCCTTTCTACTATCAGTTGAAATTTTCCACAACACCAACCCTGCTAGATGGACTCACGATCTTTTTAATTAATGGCATTGTTTCAGATTTCGGGTTACCAAAGTGGAACAGAAGTCTGCTTCTAAGGACCGGAAACACTTTGTGCCCATCAGCGGAGGCCAGACTGCTGACGTGCCCTCTACCCCCGTGAAAGAAAGCTCTAAAGAACAGTCGGCTTCCTGTCCTCTCACCCCAGAATCAAAAGAGCTGAAACCAACACCTAACAAACAGAGAAAAGGCGGGAGATCCGATTCAGGATAGCCCTTTGGGACAGAAAGTTCATGGTAGGACAGGCCAGGTGAGTAAACCCCCAATCTTTTGTCACACGTTCTCGAGGCCTTTCAAGGCCAGAAGATCTCAAGTTTTTTCTTTTCGAAAGAAATATTATTGACTTTAAGCAATTAAATGGGAGGAATTGGGAATTGCTAGTCTAGACTAGAGAAAAGAAGGCCTAGGCTAGGGGTAGGCAACCTTGGCTCTTTTATGACTCGTGGACTTCAACTCCCAGAATTCCTGAGCCAGCCTGGCTCAGCTTGGAAACCTCTCCCTTTCCCCTCAGNAATTAATGTAGACTTTATTAGTTTAGAGCAGGGATAGGCAACCTTGGCTCTTTTATGACCCGTGGACTTCAACTCCCAGAATTCCTGAGCCAGCCTGGCTCAGCTTGGAAACCTCTCCCTTTCCCCTCAGCATGACTGGCTCAGGAATTCTGGGAGTTCAAGTCCATGAGTCATAAAAGAGCCAAGGTTGCCTACCCCTGGACTAGGGGGACCTGATAGCAGTATTTGAGTATTTGAGAGGTTGCCACGAAGAAGAGGGGGTGCATTTCTTTTCCAAAGCACCAGAAGGCAAGACAAGAAACAATGGATGGAAATTAATCAGGGGGAGAAGCAACCCGGAATTAAGGAGAAACTTCCTAACAGTGAAGACAATTAACCAGTGGAGCAGAAGTTGCCTTCAGAAGTTGTGGGTGCTTCATCACTAGAGGTTTTGATGGTAAGTAAAGACTGGACGGCTATCTGTCTGAAATGGTATAGGTTGGACTAGAAGACCTCCAAGGTCCCTTCCAGTTCTATCCTGATTGATCCTGGTGGACCAGGTGGATGTAATAGGAGAGTGATGGTCCTTCAAATAACTTGGTCCCAAGCCATGAAGGGGTTGAAAGTTAGAAGAGAATAACAGAGTTGTCTTCTAGTCCAACCCCCTGCTCAGGTGTGAAACCCTACACCATTTCAGACAAATGGTTGTCCAATCTTTTCTTAAAAACTTCCAGTGTTGGAGCATTTACCGCTTCTGGAGGCAGGTTGTTCCACGGATTAATTGTTCTAACTGTCAGGTAATTTCTCCTTAGTTCTAGGTTGCTTCTCTCCTTGGCTAGTTTCCATCCGTTGCTTCTTGTCCTGCCTTCAGGCGCTTTGGAGAATAGCTTGACTCCCTCTTCTTTGTGGCAGCCCCTGAGATATTGGAAGACTGCTATCATGTCCCCCCTCATCCTTCCCTTCATTAAACTAGACATAGCCAATTCCAGCAACCGTTCCTTGTATGTTTTAGCCTCCAGCCCCCTGATCCTCTTTGTTGCTCTTCTCTGCACTCTTTCTAGAGTCTCAACCTCTTTCTTACATGGTGGGGACCAAAACTGGATGCCGTATTCCAAGTGTGGCCTTACCAAGGCCTTGTAAAGTGGTATTAACACTTCACATGATCTTGATTCTGTCCCTCTGTTAACGCAGCCTAGAACTGTGTTGGCTTTTTTGGCAGCTGCAGCACACAACTGGCTCACATTTAAGCGATTGTCCACTAGTTGATAACCAGTATCTTGATTTATACCTGGAAGCAGATGGACACCCGCTACAGCTCCCTAGAAGACGGGCATCACGTCCAGGCTTGCATAGAACTATTTTCTTTGATGACCAGGAATTGCCAGCTTGATACTTCTAACAATCTTATTTTTCTTCTCGTCTTCAGCAGGGGGGAGAAAACAAGAAAGACCACTGGAGGGTGAAAAAAAAATGGCACCCTAAGGATTTCTCCAGGAGGTATTCATAAATGCAGCACCGTGCGCAGCTTTCACTAACTGAGTCTCTGCACCATTCGGTCCCGGATAATTTAACATATCGTTAATAATGGAATATTTAGTGACATTTACTCCTTCGAAGGCTACTGGGATGTACTGCCTGCAGTTTTATATATGTGTTTTTAAACATGCCTGTTTTTTTTTCCCCCCCGCCCGACAAAGCAGAACTTAACTCTCTCTGGAAATGGGAAAAACCAAAAATGGTTTTTATGTCCAAGTGTTTTTTTTTTCTATGCATCGCACGGCGTTGGGTCGAAGCAAACCCAAATCAGGTGTAACCTGATCCTGTTCATTTTCTTAAAAACAGGAGAAGGAAAATTGTGAGCCTACGTTTTCGCCTTAATTTATTGTTGTCGTCCCAAGGGCTGCTAAATAACGCACTGCCTCATTACATCTATTCTGCAGCTTTATTGTAATTGTTGCTTGGTTCCCAAAGTCTTTTTTAGTGTATTTCTCCAAGCTCAATTGAGCTGCTGATTGAGTTTTGGAGATGTATCCGAGAAATTAGTTAGAGGATAGGCGTGCAAATTTACCCTTACTTTTCGCATCCTTCGGGATAACTGTGACAATAAATATACAGGTAGTCCTCGACTTACGATCACAACTGAGCCCCCAATTTTCTGTTGCTAAGGGAGACACTTGTTACGCGGGTTTTGCCGTGTGTTAGTCACACGGTTGCTTAAGTCAACCCGGTTTCCCCCATTGACTTTGCTTGCCGGAAGGTCGCAAAAGGGGATCACGTGACCCCGGGACCCTGCGACCGTCGTAAATGTGAGTCGGTTGCCAAGCGTCTGAATTTTGATCGCGTGACCACGGGGATGCTGCAATGATTGCGAAAAGTCATAAGTCACTTTTTTTCCGAGCCGTTGTAACTTAAAACGGTCACTGAATGAAGTGTTGTAACTTGAGGACTAGCTCCTTCGGCCGTCTGAGGTTCTGCACTCATGGCTCTTTAGAAAGATTGATATTACTGAAGGGCATCAAAACAGCCCAATCTAAAATATGTCTGCTCAGAAGTAGATTCCAATAAATTGGATAGATCTTTTCCCTCAGGCTAGTCCAGGGGTAGGCAACCTTGGCTCTTTTATGACTCGTGGACTTCAACTCCCAGAATTCCTGAGCCAGCCATTTTAATAGGTAAGACTCAGGTTCTAAGGTAGAGGTGGGAAACTATGCCCCCCTTTATGACTTGTGGACTTCAACTCCCAGAATTCCTGAGCCAGCCATTTTAATAGGTAAGACTCGGGTTCTAAGGTAGAGGTGGGGAACTACCCTTTATGACTTGTGGACTTCAACTCCCAGATTTCCTGAGCCAGCCATGCTGACTCAGGAATTCTGGGAGTTGAAGTCCACGAGTCATAAAAGAGCCAAGGTTGCCTACCCCTGCGCTAGTCTGTAAAGTAGTAGTGTTTGACCTTGACAAAGTTAAAATGTGTGGACTACAACTCCCAGAGTTCCTCAGCCAGCATGGAATCCTGGGAATCGAAGTCCACACACCTTAAAAGCTGCTCAGCTGGAGAAACAGTGATGTAGAGGATTGCCATCTACAATAGCATTCCTTAGGAAAAATGTAAAATATATTTCCATATATCCCATTTCAGGTGTACAGTACAGATAGTCCTGGGCTTACGACCAAAATTTTTGTTGCTAAGTGAGACATTTGCTACGTGAGTTTTGCCCCATTTTACCACAGTTGTTAAGTGAATCACTACCCTCGTTAAATTAGTAACACGGTTGTTAAGTGAATCTGGCTTTCCCACTGATTTTTCTTCGTCAAGAAGGTTGCAAAAAGGGGATCACATGATCCGGGGACCCTGTGACCGTCATAAATGTGGGTCAGTTCCCAAGCGTCTGAATTTTGACCATGTGACTGTGGAAGATGCCGAAATAGTCATAAATGTGAAAAGTGGTCATACTGTAAGTCACTTTTTTCATTCCCATTGTAACTTTGGTCACTAAATGAACTGTTTGTAAGTCAAGGACTATTCTACTTAGTCAGCAGTGCTATTTTTCACGTTGTCACTTATCCTTCTAATTGTTGGTGTCAATATATTTATGGCATTAGTCCAGGGGTAGGCAACCTTGGCTCTTTTATGACTCGTGGACTTCAACTCCCAGAATTCCTGAGCCAGCCATGCTGAGGGGAAAGGGAGAGGTTTCCAAGCTGAGCAGTGCTGGCTCAGGAATTCTGGGAGTTGAAGTCCACGAGTCATAAAAGAGCCAAGGTTGTCTATCCCTGCATTAGGGAAAGCTTGTTGATATTATTCCTTTCTCACAGGTAGAGCTAGTTTTGCTACATCCAAGACCCGATCCTAAATTTGGAAATGAAAGGTGTGATATCCTTAGGATGACCTCAGCCAGTCTTTGCTCTAAATCAGAGGTGGGGAAGTAGACCCCTTCATGATTTGTGGACTTCAACTCCCAGAATTCCTGAGCCGGCATGGTAACTTGGCTCTTTTATAACTTGCGGACTTCAACTCCCAGAATTCCTGAGCCAGCTGGCCAAGGAATTCTGGGAGTTGAAGTCCATAAGTCATAAAAGGGCCACAGTTCCCATGCTGGCTAAGGAATTCTGGGAGTTGAAGTCCACAAGTCATAAAAAGGCCATAGTTCCCATGGTGGCTGAGGAATTCTGGGAGTTGAAGTCCACTAGTCATAAAAAGGCCATAGTTCCCATGCTGGCTGAGGAATTCTGGGAGTTGAAGTCCACTAGTCATAAAAGAGCCAAGTTCCCATGCTGGCTGAGGAATTCTGGGAGTTGAAGTCCACTAGTCATAAAAGAGCCAAGTTCCCATGCTGGCTGAGGAATTCTGGGAGTTGAAGTCCACTAGTCATAAAAGAGCCAAGTTCCCATGCTGGCTGAGGAATTGTGGGAGTTGTTAAGTCCACAAATAATAAAATGGCTGTTGTTCCCCACCCCTGTTCTAAATCTTAGTTTTGTTAAACTGATACTCAGCGGAATATTATTTAACTACAAATCAGTTCCTGAGGAAAATCTGTTTGCAAGTATCCTTCAGGTTTACGACAAGTTGTACTAGAACCAGTTGCATCACCCCCAGCTAGGAAACCTTTAAATGAATATTCATGTATTCAACTGTTGACCGAAATCTTTGGAATTGCATAAAAGCATCGATACGCTTGAAATCGGCGTTTCTCAGGTGTAGGACACAATTCTGCCATTTCAAGGATCAGCTTGTGTGATTTATCAGCTGCCAA